ATAATAAAACTTGAAAGTTAAGGGGGTTTTCTAATAATTATTCAAAGTTAAGCCGGGGCTTTATGATATTTAGCCATTTTATTGATCACAGTTTATTGAGAATTGAGCTACAAAGGTTGCTATATGCTCTTAGAAGAAATGTGTAGGCTCACTACTGAGTGATATCATTTAGTTAGAGATTAGATGGAAGAACTAATTTATTCATTTATAACAAAATTAGTGTGTTCTCATTTAATTACATATTGTTGAGGTTTTCGAAGTGGAAGTGCTTGATCTTTTATTGGATTTTTATTGGAATGATTTTATAGTTAGATGGAATTTGTGCTATGCTGCAAAGAGTTAGGTGGGGTGCTTGGAGTTTTTTATTCAGTTGAAGATTTGGCAGGACTAAGGTTTTAAATATAGGATGTCGGGTTCATATCGGACTGTTGAAATCCATGTTGGATAGCGAAAATCAGGGATATATCGGGGGACATAGACTAAATATCGGATTGCCATATCTGGTGGTGCACATGTGACATATGTATAATATCATGTCCTAAATGTAATCTAAGCATTCCTAAATTCAATATAAGCATACTTTATAAATTCTAGAGGCGGCGCCGGCGATGGGTGGATTCTGACGTCGCAATGAGGTAGTGCCGGGGCTCTTCTTCTTTATCTGCTCGGGGTCCTTCGGATGAGTCACCGACCACATTCTTCTCTTTATCCCAACGACGGGATACCCTGCTGCCCTCGGGTTCGGTTGGGGATCGGATTTCGGGGAGCAACAGGAGAAGGACAACGGGGGTTCGAGATGGAGATGGGGGAAGGATGTCGTCGTTCACGAAAGGAGTGATCGGCTATGATGCATGGATACGGATACGGGACACAGATATGACACGGACACGGATACGGGATATAGTAAAATCCAAAAAAAAAAGGATACGAGGATACAACAAGGATTTTTTTTAAAAATTATTATTATATATAGAAAAAAGAAGAAAATTAACTTTGTACACATATTAGTCCCCCTACATGTTTAATATTTAATCCCTTAAATGCAAAGCATTTGAAAAATCAAGTTTAAAGAAACAGGCGTAAACAAAGTCTCAGAACTCAAATCCATGGCTTAACATTTTTCGCTTAAAAAAATGTTCAGTTTGATGTTAACTTAGGGATTGAAATAACAATTTCATTGAGGGACCAATTTCAAAACATCAAAGATTCAAGGGACCAATACAAAAAACCCTCGAAAAAAAATTCTGTGCCGTTGGCGGGATGGAGGAAAAAGAGCGAGCAAGCGGTCTGCGGGAAACCCACGCAGACTTGTTGCTGAAGTGGCACCCGAGGCAATCAGATATTTTTCAGTTAGGAAAATATCTAGGCCTTTTTCCCTCTCTTCATTCTCTCTCTACTTTCTCTCTCATCGATGACGGAGAATGAAGCAGAAGCAGAGAGATCGCCGGCGGCAGAGGCCTCGTCACGTGATCGGCACGCAATGAGGCTGGAGAGCTTCCTCCCGCGCAAATTGCGGGTGCTCCTTGTCGAGGGCGACGACTCGACCCGCCAGATCGACTCGGAGAGAGAAAGAGAGAGAGAAGACGAAAAGACTGCGAAAGAGAGACGAAGAGATCAAGAGGGACTCAGAGAGAGAAGAAGAAGAAAACTCACCTTGACGAGGACAAGGCGATTCCGATTCTCTGACCCAATAGCGACGAGGACGAGATCGAGAGAGGTACGCAGCAGCGATTTTGCCCTCGGTTTTTCTCTCTCTATGGCTTTATACTACTGAGAAACGAGTCTAAGGTTAGACGAGTTTGGGTTTTCAGCACTAAACCCAAACCCGTTTTATCTTTTCCCAGTGGATTGGGATGTTGGATTTGTGGGAGGGCCCGCTGAAGGACGATGAATCCACATCGTGTCCAACTCTATGTTGACCGTGTCCGGCCAACTTTGACCGTTGACCTGTGTCGGACACGGATTGACCGTGTCTGACATGTGTCGTGCACGAATCCGTGTCCGATTCGAGTTGGACACGGATTCGTAGTCTCTTTTGGCGAATCCGTGCTTCATAGGTGATCGGTTCCTAAATCTGCTGTAGCCCTAATTTTTCTCTTTTCTTTTTATCGGGTTTATAAGAAATCCTTAAACATGAGAACGGGTTAAACGAGCTTGGATTTTTATCACTAAACCTAAACCTGATAACAAAAAACAGATCTAAAAAATAGGGTCATATTGGCCGATTTTTCAAGGCTGAAAAATCAGATGATATGCCCGATATGACCCCGATATTTCCGATTTGGCCCTGAAAACCGACATACGAGTTGAAAACGCCCATGTCGTGTCGCTCAAGTCCTCAAACCGACATGTCGGCCGATATGTCGGACATGTCGGACGACATTTAAAACCTTGTTTTATTGTAATTTTTGTTGTGTGATGACAGTTTCGTGAGAATTAAGATCTAAGGTTTTCTACATTATCTCAGGAGGAAGCAGTAGTGTTCAGGCTTACTTACTAGAGCTATCTGTCGAAATTTGACAATAGTTTGCTATAGGAAAAAAAGAGGTATAAGCCCCTAACATTTTATTAAAAAGTTGCAAAACATTTCCGATAGAAAAAAAAAACTATCTATGAAAATATGTGTGGCCTAATCTCTAAAGAAAGAAAAATGGAAAAATGAAGTCAACACTCTAGGTGTTCCATATGCAGCAGTAAAGATTGCCCTACATCATTAGTTTGTATAGATCATTTTTTGCCTAAGCCAAATCCTCGCCTTCCAGCTATCTTGTAATTAGAACTTAATCCATTAGTCCAGCTATCTTGTTCTTGTAGATGAAGTTTCTTCTCTTTCAGTATACTCTTTTTTTTCCCAGTGTATTGTAATGAGTCTTAAGCGTAGCCTTATCCTTCTTGGTTTATGTAGGCAATGTCATATGCAAAGTTAGCGGGGCTTCATCCAATATATGGACTCTGTGGGTACTACTGGTACTTAGTCTTTCTTAGGAATTTTATCAGGTAGACTCTGGACTAAAAGCTCACTTTTATTTCTGATGGTCTCAAACAGATTCTGGCTTTGTTCCGATATTTGTATATGCTATATTTGGCTCATCGCGTCAGATTGCTATTGGTCCAGTGGCATTGGTCTCTCTTCTAGTTTCTAATGTCCTAAGTAAGATCGTTCATTCTTCTGACAAGATATATACCGAGCTTGCCATATTATTGGCACTAATGGTTGGTATACTTGAGTGTCTCATGGGATTATTCAGGTAATTACTCTTCTTTTTTAAGATAAATTTCTTTCTCATATCAAGTTAAATAATTATCTTACATTGGGGAGCTTGAGTAGCTGCTGGTGCTGTAGTAAGCTCTTTCATGTACGCTGACTTTACCAGAATATGTTATAACTGTTTTTAGTTTTCAGTACATGCTCATGACTGCTTTAAACTGTTTTCCCAAAGAAGAATTGAAGTGGCATCATGTCTCCATTGCTGATATCAGTTGTTTATTTTGAAGCTGATGCTATTAATACATCAATATATTTTAACTTTTTTTTGAGAATTATAAATACGTGTCTTATTTTTCTTTTACATGATTTAAACGCCCCTGAATTTTTACAGGCTTGGTTGGCTTATTCGCTTCATTAGTCATTCTGTAATTTCTGGTTTCACTACTTCTTCATCCTTGGTGATTGCATTATCGCAAGCGAAATACTTCTTGGGGTATAATGTAGCAAGAAGCAGTAAAATCATACCACTTATTACAAGCATAATTGATGGAGCTGGTGAAGTATGTTATTTATACCATTTTTAATATTCAACTTCTTTTTCCTCATTTGTACTTTTTTTTCATTTGCACCATTTATTTTTGATGTAATGTGCGGTAACTATGTGACTGTTCTTTGGATAATCATAGTTTGCATATGCAGTTTTATGTTGAATCAAATTCTTAATTGTCATCCATCAGATGAAGAAAAGGCATTACATAGTCAGTTTGACGAACCCATTTGATTTTGCTTGTCATTAGTTAATTGATCAGTGCTAGAGACTAGAGAGGACATGCCATCTTTGTTGACCAAGTTGATGATTGCTAATTATCAGTATTTTCCTTATCTGAGATATGTCAATGCTTCGGAGCAAATAGCCTCAAGGAGCTGTTATGTGCATCCCATGGAAGTCTTGGTGATGTGGTACTCCGGTCATATTCTACTAAGTTCAGCTGACAATTTTTTGTATTACCCCTACATTAATAGCTGTCATCAGGTTAGATGAACCTCAACAACTTAATGGAGAAATTGGATTTATCTAGACATCCCTACAGATATGGGATAAAGGCTTTGTCATTGTTTGCATATAGCCTTGTATTTTTAAAGCTTTGACAACCTTTTCAGTCTTAATAGCTAGCAGAAATAAGTCTAACGTCCTTTTAATACATTTTTGTTTGTTCAGAATCTTCTGGAGTCCTTCATATAGAAAATTTTGTGTTCATGTAATGCATGGCTAGCCATTGGTTTGATGAAAATCTGGGCAGAATGGTGTAGGTCACTTTTAAAAGTTTAATACTATAACTTCCTCCAACAAATCTTCTTTAAATTTCTATTTCATAAAGTGGACAAAGTGGTCGACCTCAATGCGCAAGCTTGCTTAATGCTTAGTGGTAAGATATTGGATTAGTATTGCCTTTTATAGCGTAGTTGTAGACTCAGTATATGTTAAATTGATGCTCCTGGTTGGAATCGCCCAACCGATTCTCTTTTTAGCATAAGGATAGGTTAGATCTTGTCGAATAGGCTTTTAGATTTTTTATATTTGTCAAACCGATATCTTTATTCTCTTTGGTTTAGAAATTTTCTATTACTAGCTGCTAATTACATGGTTATTTATATTCAAAGCATTATTTATATTTCATCATATTTTAAGTTGTTTTTATACTTTCCTCAAAGTTAGTGTTGGTTCCTTGACCTTCTTTCTATTTCATGCTGTTTTGTTCGGTTTTATAGCTTATATACCAAAAAGTTTTTCTGTTTCCTGAAGATACCATCCATTTTCACTAATTGTATGTGGCAGTATCATTTTGTAGTTCTCATGGCCGCCTTTCGTGATGGGTTCAGTTATGCTTGCTATCCTCCTTTTGATGAAGCACCTGGTAGTAAATTTTGGTCACCTACTACAGTTTGATTGAACTTTACATCCCGAAGCATACTATTCAACAGAAGAACCTACTTCACCTATTACTGTTTTCAAATGTTTCAGGGAAAATCAAGGAGTAGTTTACGATGGCTTAGAGCTGCAGGCCCCCTTACTGCAGTCGTATTGGGTACAACCTTTGTGAAAATATTCCGTCCTTCCTCAATTTCAGTGGTAAGTCCTCTTAAATTTTAACTACTGACATATGAGAATATGTTCTGAATCTCATAATCATGTATATGTTAGCAACAATTTAATCATGGTGTCTTCTAACTTAAGATATCCCTCGTTCCTAAGATTGGAAGACGTGAAAGCATCAGAAACACGCTTCATACCTTACAAGGAAAACTGAACTGATTGAGTGGCGTGATTATTCTATTCTACTGTAGATATGTCCCGTTAAAGATTTTCAGATAACCTCTTCATTCAAATAAGGGTGACGGGCTTGTGACTGTGTATATCAAGCAAACTTTGTTAATTGTGATACTGCTAAATATACTGGAAACAAAAACCATTGGTTAACATAAGGTGCTGTTTTTTTATTTATACAAGTCATTCTGACCTTCAGACTGAAACTACTTAATGTTAGACACAGTAAAGTGTCTCGAGGCTTCAAATTTGATGTTGTCTTTTATATTTTTCCATGTGTTATTTTCTTTAGGAATGATTATTATTTATTATTACTTGTAACTCTCATTCTGAGGTTCAGAGAATTGACATGAATAGCTCAACTGTGCTTAGGTTGGTGAAATACCTCAGGGTCTCCCAAAGTTTTCCCTTCCCAGAGAATTTGGGCATGCAAAATCTCTAATTTCAACTGCAGTTCTCATAACCGGTGTAGCAATTTTGGTATGAGCTGTTTTTATGTCCTTTTCTCATTTAACCTCAATTTTGATATTGGATACCCATTAAATCCTCTTCTTTTCCTCCTAGGAATCCGTTGGAATTGCTAAAGCTTTGGCTGCAAAGAATGGGTATGAACTGGATTCAAATCAAGAGGTAATCCATAATAAAGCTCTATATCAAAGTTTCTTTTCTGAACTAAGTAAATTGTGTTTGATCTCATGACGTTATTTTGAGCCAAACTTTCATATTAATCAAACTTTACTTGATTTTCTTATTCACAATGCTTGATCATGACTTATCCAAGCACTTTCTCATAAAAAATGGGTCGGTTATGGAGCATGACTCTACGGTGAGAATGTAAACAGAGGAGATGAGCTGGATAACTGTCATGCCAAGGTTGTCTTTAGCAATACTGGTTGTTTGGTTGCGTACATACACAATACATAGTAGTGCGTAATAAAAACATCTTGGTGAGCACCTTAATAATTGGTGTATGTATAAATAGGTGTAAAACATTATTGTGAAAAAAGTAAAAAAAAAGTTTGTGAGAGAGTACATATACTACTTTCATGAAATAAAACAAATAAATTAAGTTAAATAATTTCATGAAGTAACATTAAATTATCTCTTAGTTGGTTGATTTATTCAACTTACTCTGTATCATCAAGAGTTTCTTGAAAGTGCCAATGATGTTGCCGCTGACGCGTTGGTGTTGGTGGTTTTGTTGACTGAGAAATTAATATTAGAGACATTGGAGAGTTTAAATTTTGAGAATGGGATGGATAAATTTTCTGGAGTTTTTGACGGGTGGAAATGGTTTTCGAGATCATGGCAAAGGCTTTATGACTGTAAAGGAGTCAGTGGGTAACTGGATTGAGTTTTGTTCAGATAGTGGGCAGTGTTATTTTTCTAACTTTGCCTCTTCATAAGCTGTAATGGTTGCAACTTATTGAGGATATTTGTTAGGATTTTTGAAATTGTGACACACCGGGGTTGAACATCAAATAATTGGACCCAAAGCCTGGCTTCTCTAATCTCTAATCTCTAATAATAGTAATATAGCAGCTAATGATGGCTGCACTTACCTGTTAGATGTCCATCATTAGCAATACATTGAAACTAATCGTAATCTAGCAATATGTATCATTTAAATGGCCTTTGTAATTAGTCAAATTAGCTATACATAGATGTTGCGGATATATCCTTGTTTAGCTCTTGTGTACATTACAATTAGGAGAATTGTCTAGGCCAAGAATGTATAGCTAAGGGGAAGAATATATTATGTAGATATGAGGGGACAACATATGAGTTGTTGTCCTAACTTATCTGGGAGTCTGCCTTACAAATTATATTGTGGATGTTTAACTGAGAACTGAGATATTTGTGAATACTGTACATTATACTTGGTGAGGTGCAATTTTGTTTACATGATCCAATAATATGGTTGTCAAAGCGATCTTACTGGGACGAAACTCACAAGTTTGTAGCTTACTTGAATAATTTCATTTCTATTCCAAGAATAGCTAAATAATACATCTACTTTTTTCTACTCCTGAAACCCTTTCCACGGGTGACTAGCTCTGTCTTGTAATATAGTGTATTTTGGGGCCTTGTTGAAGACAAGCTTAACAATACATAACTAGTGCTCATTTTTGTTCCATGCACCAAATTAGAGAATCTCATTATCATTAGTTTTGCAGCTATTTGGTCTTGGCGTAGCAAACATCTGTGGCTCATTCTTCTCTTCGTATCCTACAACAGGTATAAATGTTGACCACATGTGAGAACTGAAGTCCATCCAAAGTGCTATTTGATTCTCTAATGATTGTTTTTTTTTTCATTACAATATTGGGGATGCAGGCTCCTTTTCCCGGTCAGCGGTAAATCATGAGAGTGGCGCTAGAACTGGATTATCTGGAATTACAATGGGAATTATAATGATGTGTGCTCTTTTATTTTTGACACCATTATTTTCTGATATACCTCAGGTAGGGCTTTTCCATTTTGTTATTTTTTTTTTTGCATTTACTCTTAAGACAACTTTTATCAGCATGATATTATTGTAAACTCGGTTAACTATTTGTTTATAACTTCATATTTGCAGTTATTTCCGTGAAATGTGCTCTATGAAAATCTTGGCAAAGCTTAAGGATAGAATCTCTGCTCAAAGTTAGCATTGAACTTAGGCGTTTATTGCTCCTTTAAGGAATAAATGCAAAAAATGTATGTCAGTCATGATAACTTTGGCATGTATCTGGATATACAACCAAGAATCAAGAGGTTACTATCCTTAAGATTAAATATTCTTTGGATCAGTGACAAATCAAACTAATTGGTAAATTCGTTTAAACATAGTGATCTCATACTTGCATTAAAGGTTCAAACTACGCTTAATTTTCAACTGAGTTAAAGCAAGCTCTTAGATATCAAGCTCAGTCCGTGGACCTGGCTCACCAAACTCACTTTCTATGTCCTACCAGAATGTATATTATTTGGTTTTCCAAAATAAATGGATAATGCGCGTTTTGATGAGAGAGCACCATTTTGGCAGATGGTAACACAGCCTGCATAAGTTACCTAGTGCATGTACAATCATGGAAATTACTAATTCTTGTATGGAAAATTTAGAATTTTACTACCTCTTTTACTACCTCTGGCATAAAACAATCATTTAACTAAAAGCTAGAAGTATCCTCTAGCACTAAGTTTCTCAACTCGCAATAGGTTGGATAGTTGTACTATGACCAGCTGAATGTTGTTCATGACAAATACCTACTTTCAACTTCATCAAATTTTGTCAGCAGCCTTCATCTTTATTGAAGTTTGCAGGGGTCCACATTTCATACTTTTGAACAAATATCCATCTTCTGCATTTCATCAGCAGTAGCTCATGCACAGTTCCTGCCTCTCTGTAGTAGGTTTCATGTTAATTTCTCTTTATCTACAAAATTTGTGCCTTCTCTATGGGAACACCAGGGATGAATACCAGCACCCATTCCAAGTTGATGAGATAATACTTCTAATTTTATTTATGTCTCTGTTTTGATTAAATATAAAAAGTTCTACTACTTCTTTTCTTACTTCCCCTACAAAATGGGAATATGTCTTCTTACTAGAGGTTTATTTACTCAAATTTCAGTGTTCGCTTGCTGCCATTGTGATATCTGCTGTGATGGGCCTGGTAAGAATTGTTTTAGTGCCTTTTATTACAATTTTGGTTTATATATTTTTTAAACTCTTGCAGTTCAATCGTTTATTGAAAAATCTATGCTAACATAATTCCTCCTCACCACCTAGGTGACCTACTTTCCATGATGTTGGTGAATTAGTTTAAGGAAATTTAAACTATGTAACAAAAGGATTTGTGCGAGAACTCATATTTAATTCTCTAAAGGTCAACTTTACATAACATATTGGTGACAAATACATTATGTTCATACTTTTGTCTACTATGCTTCCCAGTTAAATTAAGTTGACACCAACGGAAACCCATCAAATGCTTTTTGCAACACATCAAATTCTTTTTTCATCATCCTGACTGTAACCATGTCTTGGTGCCTTGTTACAATTTTGATTCTATATAGTTTTTTAAGCCCCTGTAGTTTGATCGTTTATAATATATTATGTCAATATATACCTCTTCACCACACATGTGACCTATTTTCCAGGATGTCGGTAGAGTAATTTTAGGAAATCACAAAGAATTTATGCAAGAGAGAATTTATGCAAGAGATCATGTTTAGTCCTCTAAACTCCAACTGTATATTGTAAACTGATAAGAATATACAATATGTTCATATACTTGGTCAACTGCACATCCAGTTATATTAAGTTGCTACCAACTGAAACCCATCAAGTGCTTTTGCAACACTCCCCAAGTTTCTTTTTCCATCATCCGGACCATAATTATGTCTTTTTTGAAGTAACCTACAACAAACTTTTTTACTTTCTGTTTTGATTGAAAATAGGATATCGCGCACACAAATTCTGATCATCATCCAAACATAGATACACATGGATGCTCATGTAGTTATTTAATTTATTTTGGGAATTTGGTTCTCTTAGGACCATCATGGGTTTAGCATATATGTCAAGCAAAGATTTGATTCTGGGTATCAATATCTAACTACTAACAGGTGATGGCTTTTGTTGCCATTTTTGTTCTTTTAGGTGGATTATGAAGAAGCTTTGTTCCTGTGGCGTGTGGATAAGAAAGATTTCCTTCTTTGGACCATCACAAGCATTACAACATTAATTTTTGGTATTGAGATTGGTGTTCTTGTTGGGGTAAGATTTCTGACTTGTTTCTATTTCTGATCATATATTATTTTCCTTTATCAAAAGTTCGCTTTGATTCAGATGTTACCTCTTACTTGATTATTTATTTATTAAGTGAATCCACTGTTCTTGGATATTTTCATTGATGCCATATATTTTCTTTTTCATGTTATGATTGCGTGCCTTATGGACATTCCATTGTGATTGATAGCTCCAATTTGTATGGACTGTCATAATCACAGATATACTGTAGACTTTCTTATACTGGGAAGAAATGCTTATATTTTATTTAACTTAGATTGTGATAGAAGGCTAGGCAGTTCTCAACATTTCTATCATATACAGGTAGGTTTAATTTTAAGAAATTTCTGTAAATCTCTCTTTCTCTGTAAATGCTCATTACAAAAGAGAGGGATTTTACTTTTCTTTGCAGTAGTACCTGTCAGCAAAAGAACTTCACCCAAAAGTTTAAGTGGATCACTTGCAGCAATTTAAATCAAGCAAACGTAATGCTTAACACTCTTCCCATGGGCCTTTGGAAAACAAATTTAATATTAAAAACCCACTTTCAAGCACTCTTTTTGGGTCACAGATTAAGCAAGCTTATTACCTAACACTTGCCTTTGGGCAACTGGAAAAGCGCTTTAGCAGGAACCTGACTCATTTGGAAAGGTAAAATAAATGCGGGTAATTGAATATCTTTAGTGATAGGATAATAAATGATTTTCATATAAGACAAGATGTTTAAACTAATACTGGCACCTAACAGTGCATATCACAAAGTTAGCTCTATATTTTACAAAATTATATGATAAAGGTGTACAAATTTAACCACACTGTAAAAAGAACGACGCAAAATTTGACAAGGAATAAAAAATATTTAACTATTCAATTGCTGAATTAGTTGAGACGCTACTTCGACGGTTAATTTATAAAATATAATGTTTTAGAGCCAGATAGAGGAAGCAAAACAGTTGCTTTAGCTGGATGTGAAGATCAAGATCTTTTTGAGATGTTATCTTAAAAAATAATTTGGCTAAAAAGAATAGACAAATCTATGTTGATATATATAACAAAAGCAGCTTATTGACAAGCTTAGTTGAATACTGACAGTGTTAGTGCTTAGCCAGAAATTTTCTCCACCATATTTTTAATAAAGAAAAAGGCATACGGTATATAGATACTAGAATACATTTCTAAGCTTTGACTTGGCAGTGCATTTTGTTCATGTCCTTAATGGTTCAGTCTATATTGCAGCTTCTAATTTTATACGAAACAAATGTTCTTAATAAGCTAATTATTTGAGTCAATAATGGTATACCCTGTCTTTGAAAGATTATGATCTGGATTTATATATAACCTGTCTTAACAATCTTTTCTCTTGTAGGTTGGTTTCTCCCTTGCATTTGTCATCCATGAGTCAGCAAATCCTCACATAGGTAAGCTTGTTTCTATAAACGGAACTCAACTGTTAGTGTGTCAAAATAATTGTTCAACTGCGAGCGTCTTAATTATCAGTCAACTGGCTAATATATTTGATTTACTGTCTTGAAGCATCAGTTTGGTGTAGTAAACGATGTATCTGTGCAGAAGTCAGTTAAAACTTGTTGCTTCTGCTGTCAGTGGCTAACCGAGTGATATTTATTTCAGCTGTATTGGGACGTCTTCCAGGAACAACTGTTTACAGAAACACACTACAATATCCTGAAGCATTAACATACAATGGCATAGTTGTTGTTCGCGTTGATGCACCCATTTATTTTGCTAACATCAGTTACATCAAGGATAGGTAAGATCAATATAAGCCTTTAAATTTTTCCCCCTTTCATGCGTGTTGCTGAAAGTTGACACTGGTATACTAATCTGTTGTCAGGTTACGAGAATATGAACTAAATATTTCAAGAACTGCAAAGCGAGGACCAGATGTAGAAAGGATTCACTTTGTGATCATTGAGATGTCCCGTAAGTCTCCCTCCCCCCATCCCCACCTCAAAGACATGTCCGTAGTGCATACTGGAGGAGATAAAGGGATCTTGTGGGACTATATATATATATATATATATATATATAATATATATATAAGACTATATATATATATATATATATATAAGGTATATGAACTTGATGATCGGAATTAGTGGATAAGGATAATGATGTTAGCAAAATGTCTTTTTAAGCCACATCTTATATTGCCTAGAGATTGGCCTTATATTGATATAAAAAGGTGTTTTATATTAATAAACTATGCTCGGCTAGAACTTTGTGTGGCACATCAACTTAATTGATAGGATGTCTGCCTCCTCCTCTCTACTAATATATATCATATATATATATATATATATATATATATATATATTATAGAGAGAGAGAGAGAGAAATGGGTTATGTTTGTGTAGACCAAGCCAAAAGTTATGCTTGGTAGTGAGGTGGCCATATCCTCTTCACTCATTCAAATGCGTTGTATATCCTCATTGCACTCCTCAACCATGTAAATGGTAGTCCCCCATTTGAATGGAGTAGAGAGGAGATTGTGTTTACCTTCACTACCAAGCACAAAATTATTTTTGTGCTTGATACCAAGGCATACCGATATTTCTCATATATATATAGTATATTATATATATATATATACTATATATATATATGTTTTTATCTAGGTGACACCTAGCATTCCCACCTAAGGACGCGCGTGCTAAAAATCATATCATTCCCTTAATTTTATTTTTTACATCCGCTCGTTAAACCTGATCTACACGGTTCTTAAACTCACACACCAATTTTGGGGTAAACCCGTCGTGTTTTGATCCTTCATCCACTCACCGTAATTTTAACGGTTTCGAATGAATAGAACTTCTTGCACGGCTCAACGAAGGGTCAAAACGGTTCACCTCAAAATTGGTGTGTTTGGGTTTAAGAACGTGTAGATCAAGTTCAACAGAGCGGATCGTAAAAAAGAATTAGGGAATGATGTGATTTTAGGCCGCGTTCTTAGGTGGTAATCTAATGTGTCACCTTAGGAAAACATTTCCGTGTGTTTGGGTTTAAGAACGTATAGATCAAGTTCAACAGAGCGGATCGCAAAAAAGAATTAGGGAATGATGTGATTTTAGGCCGCGTTCTTAGGTGGTAATCTAATGTGTCACCTTAGGTTATGCTTGGTAGTGATGTGTCACATCCCCCTCCACTCATTCAAATATGGGACCACATTCATATGGGTAATGAGTGGATGAGGATGTGACACATCACTATCAAGCACAAAATTTGTGCTTGGTACCAAGCATACCCATTTTTCTCTATATATATATATATATAAATTTATGTTAACTTAAGTGGACGTCCACTAAGTTTTTTAGTCATTGATGATCATTTGATTGAGCTATATTGTGGATGATCCGTTTCGTTGAACTTGATCTGCATATTCTAAAACCTCAACACACCAAATTTAGGGTGAACCCATCGTGGTTTGACCCTTCATCCACTCGTATTAATTTTAACGGTTTCGAATGAATAGAATTTTTTACATGGTTCGACGGAGGGTCAAACCACGACGGGTTCACCCCAAATTTGGTGTGTTAGAGTTTTAGAATATGTAGATCAAGTTCAACGGAACGGATCATCCACAATGTAGCTCAATCAAGTGATCTAATTTGTACACACACGCGCACATATATATATACTACGTTATATACACGTGCAATACACGTGGTTAGATACCATGATTAATTATTTTTGGCTTATTTTCGAACTAAAATTTATACCTCGGTTCCGCTTTAATAGTTTGTGCTTACTTTTGTCTCTAACTTTAACATTGCGATTATTTATTTTCTTTGATGTTTGTTTAAATGGGTTATACCTAATTTAAATTTTCATGTTGATATTTGAATTGATAGAAAACAAATATAATCTAAAGCTAATTTGAATTTTCATATTATTTGGACTGACATTAAAACAAAACTTTACTTAGGAAAATACAGTGTTGCAAAAGTAAAAAATATTAAAATAATGTTATACAATGAAAGTGAATATTTAAAACCAATAAGACAAGATGATTAATTAGAAGTATGTTAAAGCGATACAAAAGAGAATATAAAAGTTGTTCCTAATCATTAATAGACTTCATAGAAATTATAAACTAAATATTAATGCTATCTAGTATACTTTTATATGATAAAAACATCCACATAAGCATATAAAAGTACTAAAAGAAGTTTATGAAACTCCCTTCTAAAGATTCCTAATTTCACTCAAAACAATTAAACTATTTTATAAAACATTTAGAAAATATTGTTTTTTATTCCTTCTATTTTATTTTTTTTATTGAGCTAAGATCAATCCTTCTTCACCTTTAATATTTTCCTGGACAATTCTAGAATAGTGTCTTCATCATTTACATCGATTATGACATCAGGCTGGAGTTGTATTTTTTACACTGTTATCTTTTCTAGACTCGTTATTCTTTTATCTTCTCGTTTAACTTCACAAAGAAGTCGAAAGTATTTCTGATGTTCAACACAAATTTCTTGAAATACAGACTTTGATTTTTTTTCCTATTTCAATGAGAATAAATTTTAATTTCATATATATAAAATTAGTTGTGTTCCTAATTTTTTTTTTGATGTAAGTGTTCCTAATTTATTACTTAAATAAGATTAGGAGTTACCTCTTTTTCCTCTACAATGAATTCTTCTGATGTGCATCATCCAATAAGAGTTTTTACTATGTCAGTAATGTTATCTTTACTTTATCCCTGTCATTTTTTACAAAGATCTGAACTAAATACATGTATTTTTTATTACCAATTTGTTGTAGATTATAGTATTAATATTTGATTTCTTTAATATTTGAAGAAAAAAGTATGAAATTTATGAACACTAACTAATTTTTTCATATCTTCCATGGAGAATTCTTCTTTGATTGAGATAAAGTTGTTAAATTATTCTTTAATGGAGCTGAGTCGGTGCTTTTTTGATTTATTTGTCACTTTCTCATTTGCAATGAAAATAGCTTGATTCTTTTGAATGATATCTCTAAACATTCTGATAGTTTCTCCATATGTAATTCCTTGCATTATTTTACCCTATAAATATTATTAACATCAAAGATTAATGTTTCTAAATTATAATCAATTGATGCTAGACTATTATATTATAGGCTTTTATAATTTTTATGGATTTAAACATCTATCAATTAATGTTACTATTGTATTTTTGCTGCTCCAACTTATTCGTACAATTACATGCAGTTACTTTGATTTATATAGTGACAACAATTTTAAAGCTATTATATTTTTTAAAATTTTTATTTCTTAACTGAATATTTTTAATCAATTCTTGCTTTTGTTTACCAGCATCAACTTAGACTACTTTTAGATACTGAAAAGGAATAGCAAACCCTATATATACACATTTCTTTGCCAAGTTTTAAAATTTAAGCCATTTTTTCATGGTTTTGAACTTTAAGGGTGTGATTTGTAATTTCTAAAACTTTAAGAGTGTTTTAAAAATTTTATTTGTAAGTTTAACAGTTGTAACTTCTATATTTGATGTGTCGATGGTAATTTTCAAATGTTAAAATATTCTTACAACTCTGAAAATTTAAGGGTTCTTTTTGTAATTATTAAAAATGTAGATTAATTTTTGAAAAACTCAAATATCAGTGGTCTGTTAATAATTTCTAGATTTAATGTGTACTTGTTATAAATTTTAAATTTTTTGAGTTTTTTACAATTTTTAAGTTTTGAAGAAATGTTTTGTTGCAATTTTTGTAACTTTAAGGTTAATTTTGGTAAATTTTAAATTTTTAGGTACATTAAGGTAATCTCTTGAATTCATCTTTTATTGTTTGCAAATTTTAAAATTTTAGAATTTTATGGTTTATTATAATTTGAACTTTTGAGGGTGTTTTTATAATTTTTGAGACATTGAGGGTGTCAATTGAAAATTTTAAATTTTTCAGAGGTTGCTGTTAATTTTTTAATTTTATGTTTTTTGTTCTAAGTTTGAAATGTTAAAAAATTTTAGGTGCATCATGGTAATCCCTAGAATTCATTTATGTTGTTTGAAAGTTTTAAAATTTTAGAACTTTAGGATGCTTATTCGTAATTTAAACATTTGAGGATGTTTCGAGACATTCAAATGTTAACTGCAAATTTTAAATTCTTCATATACTGCTATTAGTTTCTTGATTAATGTTTGTTGTTTTAACTTTTAAAACGTCAGGATGTTTTTTATAATTTTAAACTTTTCAAGGTATTTTGTGTAATTTTAAAACTTTTTAGTTTTTTTACAATACATAATGTATTATAGTATATTAGCTACCATAAAGCTATTTTATATATTTTATTAATATTATTTTTTAAATTGTTGAGCTATAGGTAGATCACATAGGATTAGGATATTATATAATTATAATTAGGATAGATTAAGATATAACTGAAATATTCAAAATAGTGAAGGGTAATATTGACCATGAAAAGATTTTTTTCAAACTCGTGCTTTTAAAGGGAGTTCAATCTTACATTAAAAGAACTACAATATGAACTTGGTAAAGAAACGTAAACAATAATGTTTTAATTTCAAGCTCTTTCTAACACAAGCTTAATTTACTCTTCCACATCACTTGTTGGTATATAAACAATTCATCCAACGTTATAATTCAAACTCAAATTGTTAAAAAAGGTTCACAACGAAAAAGAAGTTAGATATTATATGTCTCAACAATTTAAGTATAAAGAACAAAGAAGTTTAGATATATATGTAACTATAAAGTATAGATATATAATATATGAATCTTTTGTACCTGTAATTTTTGCTATATTTGTATATGTGACTACAAACACGATATCCAAATGTTGAAATGTGAAAGATGTAAACACAAAAAATAACATTTTAACCAATAAATAAATTAGTCCCATAAAAGATAAATGGTTGTTTTATGTTTACTGCTTGAAGTTTCAATCCGTG